TCTCTCTCTCTATCTCTCCCCCCCCTCTCTCTCTCTCTCTCTCTCTGTCTCTCTCTCTCTCTCTCTCTCTCTGTCTCTCTCTCTCTCTCTGAACAAAGAATATAACAATAATTACATAAATAAATGAATAAATCCAATGAATGAATGAATGAATGAATGAATGAATGAATGAATGAATGAATGAATGAAAAGTCGGCTGTATCACTGATTAGCATTTTTCTTTTAGCAGGTCAACATCTCTGCTTTTCACGTGTCTCTGCAGTGGCGTCGGTAGCCTAGTGGTTAGGCTACCTGACTCGTAATCTTGAGATTGCGGGTTCGGAGGTTCGAGCCTCAGCTCGGTCCGACGTTGTGTCCTTGGGAAAGGCACTTTACACGAACTTCCCACGTGGCTCGGTCCTATCGGAGACTGACGTTAAACTAGGAGGTCCCGCCCTTTAAATAACCTAATAATGTTGATAGGGGCGTTAAGCCCATACCATTTCACCATTTTCACGTGTCTCTGCAGTTTCATGATCATGGAATGGTCCGTTTCTTTTCCTCCCCGATACTGGTGCTGTCCCAGACATCCAATTGTATTTACATATTTTTCTTTTCTCTATTTTTTTCTCCAATTTCACAGCGGTTCTTCGTGCTGGAGAGAGGGATTCTGACCTACGCCAAGTCCAGTGCCGATGTAAGTGCATGTATCATTTTGTTGTGTCCGTTTATGTTATTCTTGAGATGGTGAGCCCTTCGCTTGTCCAAAAGTCCATCGGACTTGGGACTGTTTCTTTTTGATCCCTGTGTTTTTTCTTTCTTTTCTATCCCTATGTTTTTTCTTTCTGTTCTATCCCTTTGTTTTTTCTTTCTGCCTGTCTTACTATATTTCTCTGCACCTGATGGATGTTATTGTGATTATCTGCTTCTCTTGTAGTAATTGGTTGTTTTTCGTCCAAGGACCAAAGTACAAGCAGTCATGTCGTTTTCTGTATGTCTTTGAGCTCATTGTTTGTTTGGTTTTTTATATACGTGTTGTTTCTGTCTATCAGTCTTGCGTGGGTGGTTGGCGGGTGCTCTGGTGTGGTTTGCTTCTTATGTTTTTTCAAACATCTATCTTCTTTATCTCCCCTCCTTCTTTTTTGTGTTTGTTACTCTCTTGTAACACCTGTAGTGTCTTTAGGCCATACCCAAAGGGGGGACATTTCTCGTTCATGCACAGCGGAATTGTAAATGCGCTGATTCATCATGTCACGTTTTAACTGTACCTGATCTATAACAGGGAATTGCTGCTTTTTCTTTCCTAATCCTTACTATTGTCATTTGCCTCTACGTCTTTTGTATGTTTGTCACACTCTTGTGACCCGCTATTTCCGGGGTGCCTTGATAGTCAAAGCAGACTTTGTCCTGTTGAAGCTAGAGAGGTGAGCAGAGTAAGTCAGATTCCATGTAAAGACTTCTCTGTTGACACCCTCCCCTTGGCGCTCATATGGCCTTATGCAGTTGCGAGCGCCGTAAAACCTCTACTGAAACAAATAATATAACGTTCTGAGTGTTTGTATCTTGACGTAGCTTGGTGAAGCACTTGGGATGCTGGCTTGGTCGGCCGGGGGACCAAAGCTCCACATAGTCTTTTTAAAGGAAGTTTGAGGGTGGTTGGCGAGTGCTCAGGTGTGGTTTGCTTCTTCTTTCCTATCAAACATCTATCGTCCTTATCTCTCCTCCTTCTTTATGTTTGTTGTTACCATTTTGTAACTCCTCTAATCTTCTGGTCCTAATTTGATCGTATGCAATTGCGAGCGCCGTAAAACCTCTACTAAAACTAAACTAAAAGGAAGTTTTAGTATCCCTCTCATACTGGGAAAGACCTACAATCTGGAATTATGTGGCTTTTAACATCTATTTCAACACGATAACATTTTTTTAATGGGAAAAGGATGTTGACTTTCGTGCTATATTTGGGATCAAACTTATTCGTTACAGAACATTGAACTCCCCAAAGATTAGCGAAGATTGCCAGTTACAGGATTCCAACAAAAGTCACCCGCATGGCTATCCAGTATCACAGCTACTACTAATGTTACAGTGCTCTGTGAGAGTGGTATATAATACTGCAGCCAACTCCCTCCAATACCAATGTGTTGAAAAAGGGAGGGTCAGACCCCCCCCCCCCCCCCGCCCACCCCCACGCACACACACACTCAGACGCACACACTCACACACACAGACGCGCACACACATTTTTTCATTATAGGGGGTGCTCACCAGCGAGAGCGGATAGGGTCGGGTCGAATCGGGTCGTTTATTAGTGTTTTCAGTGCACACTATAACCCCGCCGCCATTGTACCCGACGACCTGGAAGCTGAAGTAGAAAAACTTTTAAACTCAATGGCTTCCAGGGCTCCTTTCCGCAGTTCCCTGTTGCAGTGTGATTGGCTGCAAATCACCCAATTGCGCGATTCGCAGGCCTGAAAACAAATGCGGGGTTGCAGTGCGCACTGAAACCTCCAGAAAACGACCCGACCCGACGACTCGGCCAGATCTGCTCTCGCTAGTGGGCACCCCCTATCTCCAATACCAAACTGTGTTGAAAAAGGGAGGGTCAGAATACACCCCCCACCCCGCCCACCCCCACGCACACACACACTCAGACGCACACACTCACACACACAGACGCGCACTCACTTTTTCCCTTTCATCCCACTCCATCCAATACCGAACTGTGTTAAAAAAAGGGAGGGCCAGAGTTACAAACTTTCGCCTGATGCCAAGCTACACGTCATGTCATGGAGATAGCGGCCTCACCCAACTGCCGACTCATCGCCAGCAGTGTAGCCAACAGTGTAGCCAACAGTGTAGCCAACAGTGTAGCCAACAGTGTAGCCAACACATTGTAGCCAACAGTGTAGCCAACAGTGTAGCCAACATTGTAGCCAACACATTGTAGCCAACAGTGTAGCCAACAGTGTAGCCAACAGTGTAGCCAACACATTGTAGCCAACAGTTTAGCCAACAGTGTAGCCAACACATTGTAGCCAACAGTGTAGCCAACAGTGTAGCCAACACATTGTAGCCAACACATTGTAGCCAACAGTGTAGCCAACACATTGTAGCCAACAGTGTAGCCAACAGTGTAGCCAACACAGTGTAGCCAACAGTGTAGTCCTGCACCAGTGACAGCTCGCCACCTCAGAATTACAACGTTCTATCTGACATATTTGGCCGTTTTGAGTTACTAAGACCATGAGATCAGAAACTAAATGTTCTCTCTGCTCTATCAAAATTGTAAGGTTATTCGGAGCCATTATCAAGATATTCAAAGGACTGCATTAAAAAAACAAAAACAGCTTGACATGTTGTGAAACTCAAAATCTTTGACGTCGTATTTCTGAAAACTAGGTACTGAGCAGATATAACTTTGTAATTCTGAGGTAGCGAGCTTCCTTGTGACAGCTGATCGTCAAAAAAACACTCATCGATAGCAGCTAGCCGTGCCTGTATCATTGAGGGATCATATTTGCACATTTTGTAATCCATCTCACTCTGGTATATATAGCTGGCTGTATCATCGCCCCAGGCTGTATTTGCTTGTGTACTTAATGTGCACGGCCTGTTGTAATATGTTTTTGTTTTTAAAGGAACGTCGACAGAACTGGTGCTGTTTTCTGTTTAGTTTTGCTCAGGCAAGCTGGTGTACTCACTTACTTACTCTCTCCCTATACCGCCAGGTACATAAGGCTGAGAGCAGTCGACGCCACGCTTACTTACCCCTACTGGCCACGTTCTCTAATTTCGGCACATCCAGGCCCTGGGTGATTGCCTTATCCCTTATTGTGCCTCTATAGTTTCCAGTTGGTTTTCCTCGGTTGTTTTTTGCCAGTTGGTCTCCAATACAATGTTTGATAGGGCAATCTTGTCTTTAACATTCTTAGAACATGTCCTAAATAACTCCATCTTGTCATTTTAAGTTTTAGTAGAGGTTTTACGGCACTTGCAACTGCTCAAGATCATATGAGCGCCATGTCTTTTTTATGGTTGTGTTGATATCTTCAATTCCAGATCTTTCCAACACTTCATTATTCGTAATAAAGTTATAATTCACGCTGGTTTTGTAGTCACCTTTTTCTTGTGGAATAGAGACAGTATAAAACAGTCGTTCAATCGTTTAAAACGGGATGTCCATTTGGGGATCGGGTCAGGTCAGGTCGATTTTCTGGCCAGATTTAGGGAGCAAAGCGGCTATCGTGGCACAAGCCCATCGCACCCGACTCGTCGCCTCAAAAAACGGACGCGTTTGTTTTCAGGCGACGAGTCGGGCGATCATCCCGACCTGGCCCGATCCCATCCGCAATGGACACCCCGTATAACACCTTGAAGACGTAGCGAACACATTAATGTCCCATTACGGACAGAGCAAAGGCAACTTTTGGGTAGATGTCGAATCATCATACATAAAACAGAAACGGTAGCTTGCCTATTTCACAGTGTGCGATGGGAAACCTGCTAAGGGTCTTGAACATCTAGCTCTCACTGACAAAATTGAGGGCAAGCGAGGCAGGGGTAGGCCCAGTACAACATACTTAGGGAACCTAAACAATTGGGTAACAGGGACAGATCAGGGAAACGTAGCTTTTCTGAGAGCATCCGAGCAAATGAATGAATGGAAAATCATGATCGTCGATGTCTGTCGCAGATCTGGCACTGGATGATGATGATGTACTGTTGCACGTCTTTTAACGTTTCAAAGAAAGGAAACAAAATCGAAAAATGTGTTTGATTAACGAAGTCACACCCCAAAACAACACAGCCTTTTGCATTGTCGATTGAACAGAATGCATATGCCCAATGACTTAATTTTTTTTTAAATTATTTTTTTTCTTGGGGGGTGGGGGGGAGGGGTGCATTAAAACAATGAGTAATCCGCACTGACGCTTTTTTATGTGTTTAAAAGGTGCTCAGAATTGAAGTGCTGCAGGAAGCCAATTCACGTCTACAGGGGATGGTATTTTCAGCTCACTCAT